ATTTCGGTTTCTTTTTTATTAAGTAGAATGGCCTTACTTCTTTTCAATCTCGAAATCTGTTCGATACGACACATACGGCCGCAACTGAAACCCTCGCAAATCTGGTACTATCAACTCCGGGTGCATCTCATCAACAGGGACAAATTTTTTGCTTGCTGGATCATAGAAACCGACATCTCTTGTTCCAGTATAATCTAGAAAGTGACAACGATTACAGTGCAACAAAAGACAGTCATTTTCCGACGAATAATTAATTAAATGAAGGACTAACTTCTCAATTCTTCTGGATTTTCTTTCTTAAACTTTGGCGACAGCTCCGGAAACTCACGGTCCTGTCCAGGAAGACGATGTCGCTCATGAACACAGGGACCTCGTTTCCGCCATCCCGATGTCTGTTATAGCAGATAAGAATTATATCAAAAAAGTGATTATCGATAACAAAAATGAAGCGTAGACAATGCTACTAAATTATCGAGTGAATTCGAATGAATTTTATAAAAAAGTTCCATTCTCGAGAGAGCAATTTGGTGGCAAGCTGTCGGAAGTTAGTACCTTTGAAAAAATGGGCCATGGTGGCCGGAAATGATGCGGATTGAGAGAGCGCACTCCTCGCGTGGATATGACGCTGACAGAAGCCAGCATTTTTATATTACGCACAGTTCGACCCACGAGAACCAGAAGTACTGAAATAACATATTTTAGCCAAAAAGCTTAGATCCTGAATTTTTAATAAAACCTTCAGTGTCGTATCCGAGACTACCCACCCAACCAACAAATCCTTATGCTATTCCACCTGGTAAATTAGCTCCTCGACTATTTCACATAGCAACCTTCAAGTTACTCCATCCGATAACATAATGGATGTCTACTCCTGCTCCACCTCCCATCCAGTAAGCTAACCCTCAAGCAGTTGAAGAAATCTTCAGTTCATACTAACGAGAACAGAAAACCTGTTGATCAATAAGCAATCGCAAACGAGTAGCAGCAGCAGTGAGTAAAGCATTTATTAACAGCATGGACAGGAAATGCATAATTTTTCAGCAGCAAAAGACAATACAAGAGTGCAGTACATGAGGGATTCTTACAGGATTTCCGTTTGCCATAAATCACAGCCGTTCTTGACCTCACTTCAGTCTTTGTTCAACAGACTGCTGATTGCTCATTCAAATGGACCCAAAAAAAAGATGCACAAAGAGCATTACTCGCCATCTAAAAAGATTGAGCGAAAAAACCAATTACTTGGACAGGAAACTACTTTTTCCTATTGGAAGAGTGGATAGCATTTTTCGAGATGGAGCGCACTGCCAGGAATTTTTGAAAATCTGATGGATTAAAAATTACAGCTTCAACACAAAACAGCGACAACGAAAAAATGCAGCAAACTAGGTGTTTCATAAACTGGAAGAGGACCACAGAACTGTTGTGTAATAAAGGACTAAGAACGTACAGTTATACCATTTATAAAAAATGAAGTCAAACAAGACCTAAAAACCACTAGTCTCGCGGAGAAGCCCGTTTTTACTTGGGAAGGGTTATGAGTCGGGAAGGAATCAAGTTGCTCCTTTTCCATATCCAGGCCCGACGTACTACCCACTTTCATCATCAATCCTCTGGATGCGCTGTGCTAGACCACTGCACCGCCGGTCCTTATGCTCTATGCACCTGCTGGGGAACTTGTAAGCTGTATATACACCAACACTAGAATCAAGATTTCCCCGTTGCTGCATCCTGTACAGCACATCCTTTCAACAACTGCCCGCTTTTGCAGTACTTCCGCGACAACTGGTGCATCTAGGAGACAAGGCGACAGCGGACAAGCGAATTTAATACATTCATCAGAGTGAAATGATACCTTTTTTGACTACAAAACTTCGAGGACAGCTAGTACTGAACTTAACATTGCCCGTCCCGAATGAACAGTCCTGAGCAAGATTAAAGTAGCAAAGAGAGGAGAGAAACAACTAATAGGGCTGGGGCGTCAAATGCAAAAAAGAGACGACAACTCTGACTAAGGAGCGGTAAACTGAGTGACACCAAGATGAAAGGACCACAGTGATATTCCATGAAAATGACACATTAAGGTAGAAAAGCGAGATTAAGCCAAATTCACCGGGACTGTATACATTTGCTCCCACCCAACTATGTTGGATATACATATATATGACTGTGTTGGATATATGTATGTGGATATATATAATGGATATATATATGTATATATATATATACGTATATATATATGTATATATATGTATATATATATATGTATATATACATATATATGTATATATATATATATATATGAGTTTACCAAATACGTTACATCTTGAGGACAAAATAACTTTCATAAGCTTAAAAAATACATCTATCGTTTGTGAGAGCATAAACGGATGGATGGAGTCCAATGAAAGAAAGCAGCCCAAGTATAAAATGCACTTCTTCCTCTTTAATCCTTCACCGGTGAGATCACAGACAAGAACTGACACGTGGAAAAAACAACAGTGACTTTTTGAATACAACAACAATGCATTTGGCGTGACAGTATTAGTAAAAGGTACTCTGCGTCAGCAAAAAAATACACAGTAAGATTGCAACAGTCCAAGCGCTTAGTTTAGCAAAAGAAATGAACATAATGGGAGCATCATTATAACGAAGTCAGCGAAATGCTGCAGCAGAAGACAACATTTAAAAAAATGACCCTTAAATTCAAGACCAAAACAGAATAAAGAGATCAGCTGAAAGAAGATAACGGAATCTTCGGGAACATCGGGAACATGAAAGAGCGGAGGCCAGAGCCTTGTGAATTTCGAAAAGTGCTCGAATGTGGCATTAAGCGAACACCGGGAAGCATCGCTTACGTGGTGGAAGGATCTAATCGAACGGCTACAAAAAAAAAAAAAAAAATGAAAACTGTAGAAAAGATGGGTTCAGAAAAACTATACGAGAACACACTAGGTTCGCCACTGCGATCACACGTTTTTGCGCTAAACTTGAAACAATCAGATCGTTAACTGTATAAATGGTTGTTGCTCTAAATTTAATCAGTTCACTTATTGCAGCAAATCACCGCAAACTTTGCGTAAAGTAAACTATTCTCGTTAGGCGGCCGTTTACTGAAATGACCCGGTAGTTCTGGTCCCAAGTTAGCCATCAACCTGTCAAATTTTCCACGTACTGCACGCACCTAGAAGCCAAGTTTAAAATCTATAAATTATGTGTTAACAAAGAATATCCTCTTAAAATTTCAGCTTTCCAGTTTTTTTGAATCCCGAATCAGAAATTTTCCCGCCGAAGATTTCATGTGCCCCTGAGCAAGGCTTAGACATGCGTGAAAAGTGGTGCTGTCTTTGGAACCATATGTGGACAGGAGATGCAATGGCAAAATTTCAGCGCCAAAACCTGCTTGGTTCTCAAACTGAAGTGCGCGGAAGGACATACACAAATCATGGGTCGTCACAACATGCATTTTTGCATTTGCACACATACAAAAACGCATAAAAATGAAGAAGTTATCAGGTGCATATGGCAAGAAGGGTGGCGAAGGCAAAACAATGGAAAATCAAAATATTAAAGTAAGTAGAAATTTGGATATAAATTAATCGAAATCAATTCATACGACAGGCAACAGGTACACGGGAAATCATAATAAAGCGATGTATGACGAAGGCCGATAAGAAACAAGTACTGGGTATAAGTAATTAATTATAGATGTCAGATTTGAATGAAGTCAGAAACAACAGCTTAAGAGCAAATATTAAGATCATTTCTAATTGCTGAACTTGTTCAGAAGTACTAGTAACGATTTATGCGTGGAAATCACAAATCCGGATTGAGTGCGGAGCTTACAGCGATTAAAACCGGTTCATAAATTTTACGATAGCCCTCTTGGGTAAGATGAACAAAATCGAACATATAGTGTGAGTCGATATGCCCATCGGTGCCTGAAAATCCTTTAAATTTAACAAACATAAAGCAATCCATGGCAAGGAGAAATGCCAAACTTCCAAGAGGCTCAAAATTGGTTGCAAGGCCTATGGGCAGCTGGTAATGAATCTGCTCTCCGAATAATGCTTGCACAAGCAAATTGAGAGTGCTTTAAACTAAAAATAGTGAAGCGCCAGTGTTTCGTCCTAGGTATAAAAACAATAGCTGCAACACCAGACTGTGTTCGGTAGTCATAAACAGCCATCATACCAGAGCAAACGTACAAAGCGTGGGACACTGGCTGTTACTGAGGCGCAATTACAAGTCCACCACAATTATTCTATACCCCTCTAGCTCTGAACACACGACCTGGCCAAACACCCTTCTCTTTAAGACCACCCGTTAATGAGAATGGCGTTTCTCTTTGAAGACAATCTCGCTCCTTCGTTTCACCCAACGCGTCGTCGTTCAGGCTTTAACGACCTAAGCGAGGAAATATGCTGATCCCCTGTTATCACACAATAAACAATCAGTGAATAGAAACGTTTGAACATCTCCACTCATGAAGGGACAGCCCTATGCCTTCAGACGACAGTAGCAAGCGGGACATAACGCCACAAGAAATAAAGTAATAAACTACAAGGCTTTTTTAAGCTGAAGTCGAATTATAAAAAGCACTGGTTTGCGGCTGAATAAACACCATGTTTGAGTCCTCGAAGCCTCCAGGCAACTACAGCATTTTCCAGAAAAGTGGCAATGCTTTGCTTAAAAGAAAAACTGCTCTGAATGCTTTTCGAGGACAAGGAAAAATCCCTAAAAGACAACTGCACAGCAAAAACCGAAAACAATGAGAGAGCTACACTTGAAGATTCTGAGAGTTGTTCTACATAATTTGTTTTCTGCTGCAGACATTGTTTCCTTCCAGAATTGAAGGACAGGAAGTTAAAGTAGAAGTGTATATGTTGGCAAGATGCAACGGGAGGTTGAGCACAGCTATGCCAGGTGCTACTACTTATCCTCAGTTATTATGAAAAACGTCCATTTCTGCGCACAGCTCTCTTCGAAGTTGACAAACACTGTGTCTCGGTTAGCTGCCAGTTTCTGGCAAGCGGTGCTCACCAGATGATATCAACGTATTCCGTCTGACAGCCACAAAAATTTCTTGCATGTTCTTTAAACCAAATCGATACAGAATTACTTCACGCAAATACAGTGCTACTGCTTTTCCCCTTCCCAATTTGCGTTCCTACGCTGTGTCAGTGATCCAGTTTCATTCCTGAACAACACCGCCTTCAGTGCGATAATTACGAAGATCCTTTCCGGCTTAAAATTCTGGGGGTGCAGGCGATGCTGTACCACAACCTTTCAACATGCAATATCCGGCCGGGCAATGTGGCACAAGCTCGGGCACATCATAACCAGCAAACGGATGAAAGGAACAATTATCGGTAAAAGCGATAAATGAGAGGGTGCGAGCAAAATACTTTGTATCGAAGGGTCCACATCGATCACATCCGCAACTCCTTTCAGTGCGCCTTCCAAACTTTCATTGACATCGTTCACTAATTCACGCCTTTTGCTGGGTCTTCTTCCCGACGGAAGAAGTTTCTGCAAAGCAACAACTTCAGCTTCAGCCGATCACTGCAAAATAATCAATTCGAAGAAAACTGCCCTTCGTAACCGGTGCCACTAAGCGCTCACGTTTATGTCCAGAGAGGAATTTCTAAGAAGCAGCAAGCTGCCCACTGAACCCCTCGGCTGCCGAGAACGTATCAACACGCGGCTAGTCCAGTAAAACGGATTTACAGTGCACTCAGAGACGCGCCGACTTGGGAACACGTGAGAACAGTACACTAAAAGATAGCAGCAGCAGCAGCTAAGCAGCACGCAAAATGGAATACCATGAGGAAGAGTTTTGCGGTTGGTTTCCGCTTTCGGACTGTTGCAGCAACAAGCTTCAGCGCATCCAGCATTTCCTCCTTCGAGAGATGGAAATCCGAGTTGCCAATACTCACAACGATTACCTGCAACACACGGAGAGAGAGAGAGAGGTGCATTAAGCACTAGCAATGCGATGGAGAGTGTACCTTCGGGTTGAGATCATCCAGTATGTTACTCTCGAGCCTCCACAGCAAATTCGAAATTGTGTCGCCGAACGCACCAAAGCAAAGGCAATGCAACGGCGCTAAATGCTCCCGGAAAAACTGAAAAAATACAGCAATTTGAGGCAGACATCAGCGGTGCAGTGAAGTGAAGCACAGAAGGCACTACCAGTGACTGCTCCAAAAACGCGACGTGGTCATCGCCAAGGAAAAGAACGTCGGCCTCCTTGTCACGCGCCTCCGATACGAACAATTCTTGCTGCAACCACGAAAAGCCATTAAAACAGAACGAGACAACAGCCCACACCTCCCTGAAGAACAACGAATCGTACCAGTTCCGTCCATCGGTGATCGCCTGCAGCATCCACTCGTGCCCGCTTCTCCATTAAGCCGTAGCAGGAAATCCCTGCAACAACGCCACCAATCCCAGCGCGCAATTACTCTCCCTCGGCTCAGACGCGTTACTTCAGCTTCTTCGCTAAAGCTACTTTCACGGCCTCACTTGCCGTCACCGCATGGCACATTGCCAATTATTCGGTGGCTGGAAGGTGCGTCAGGAATTCGAGACGATAAATGCTGCCAACGGTTGGGGGTGATGGACATTGGCGGATCCAGGTGGGGAGAGGTGGG